AGTGCTGACCCACTTTACCAAGTCTGAACTCCACAATTCAGACTTTAGCACAAACTTCTAAAACCAAAAATGCTTAACCAAATTATCTCTACAGCCTCACAGTTAAACTTGGCTTCAGAGGCATTGGTGAAGGTCTAAAACTGCTCTGGTTCTATCTCTAACTGTGGTGAATGTGAGCATTAGAGGAATTCTGCATCACCCAAATCACAGTTATTCACAAGGAAAACAGTCTCTATGAGTCAAGACGACAAAAAAGAAAAAGGAGTCATCCAAACCCATATGTCAAGAATGACAAAATACAGAGTGGTACCAAAATATTCCAGACACAAATACTAACAAGCACAGGGACAATAAATTTCACCATCTGATCTGACTCAATTGGACATTTTCTTCCTTTGACATTTTTCTTGAATCATGTGAAAATGGACTTGAGCATTATCATCTTGGTGCTCTGAACAGTGTGTTCTACTTAGCAAATCTGTGCATGAGGGAAATACGAGCCCATTCTACTAACTACAAAAGTAGCAATCACTTTTGCTAATCAAGTTGGCCAAAACACAAAAGCAACACTCCCTAGAGACAGAAGAAAACACTTTTGTCATCAACACGAACAGCAAAATGATTCAGTGAGAGCCCAACTGAATCAAAACATCATCTTCATTTAGCAATCAATACATGCTTAATGAAAATTAATCTCTTTTTCTATTTGGTTATCTAAATTTCTTGTCCTGGCCTTAAACCAATCCACTAAAACCATTACTGGTCATATCTGCCCGTGACAGCTTGCAAGAAAACAATAAATTACAGAGAATTAGAGTTACATGGAATGACCTAAATCACTTGATAAAGTACACAGAAGCAAGGAAGATGACTGAAAATGGTCAAAGGGCTCTTCAGCCTAGGAAAGATGTTCCCAATTACATTTTCACTTTAAATTTGTACAAAGCTGGCAACTGGCAGCCGTTGTCTAGACAGCGACCGAAATAGCAGTAAAGACAAAGTGACCCAAATAGACAGGACAGGAATCTTGGCACTTCTCATCTGATGATGGATAACAAGGATAGATCAAGCCCCTCTTCCTCTGTGGCAAATAACATCTGCCACTGAGCTTTACAGAAACATCAGTATCTGTAGGTTTGTGTCAGCTTTCTCTTCTCACTCATCTCACAAGACAAAAATGGGATGGCTGCAACCAACTAATCACAAATGAGCCATAAATCAGCACCAAAAGATTGCACCAAGGTTCCCCACTGCAGAAACAAAGATGGGCACCTGCCAACCAGACCTGGTGCATCCAAGCCTAAGCATGGGGGTCTGGCTCTGGAGATTCCTGCTCTGAAAACGCCTTTGTCTGGCCTAAATAATTTGGTTAGAAACCTGTCCCAAAGCTGAAGGATGCTGGAAAGCAACTAGGTGGAGCAAAGAGCCATAATAATTTTTCACTGTATCTTCTCCATTCAACCCAGCAGACACAGCTATGGCCACTGGCACAAACACCTCTACGTCCAGTTCTAACCCTTGGGAACCTCTCATTAACCAAAGAGGATTCTCTGAGATGGTACCATGTTCCCAGTTAAGCTATCCCTTTTAAGAACAGAAAACCCAACATTTAGCTTTTAAGGAATTTTCATGGAAGTCATGACAATAGCCATGACACATCTATTTGTTACTTTAATTAGATTGTCACATGGCAATATGTGCTTGCTTGAGTTCTGAAAGCAAAAATGGTGTTTGGTTGGGTTTTTCTTTTGGACAAGGCAGGTCTCTTTCTGATCTGTAGAAATTGCCTATTTTTAATCTAGAAAATGTGCCAAGAAATGGGAGGAGTTTCAAGGGCTAGAGGACTAGAAAGATCAGCTGTAAATGATCTGAGTTCATTGACTTCAGATCAAAGAGAAACATCATCCAGAAGCTGAACAGGGCAATTACCTGAACCGTACCACAGATCACTCTCCCACTTCAGCAAGGTCAATCACAGCTAAGGGTGTAGGAAATACTTTGTGGGAAGGGGAGAATTAAACTTGTGCTTCCTGATATACAGAACAATCCTTTTGCAAGTAATATACAAGGCAGCTCAAAGCCAACAGTGAGATCCACAGGAAAACAAAGCTTGAAGACTCTGTCCTCGTATGTTATAATAGATCACAGGGAGCTGAAACTGAATAAACTTAGTCTAGAATTGAAATTATTTTTAAAAATTAGTCAGCATCATTACAAAAGGACTTAACAGAAGGGTACTAAGAATCCATCATCACAGTAATGTTTTACCTAAATATGCACTCCCTCCTGCTCCAAAGAATATGTTCTACTTTAGGGCCCACTGTCTGTATCTATATTGGAGCCTGGACTAGACTATCACAATATTCTCTCCCCTGTGAACTAATAAAAAGTAAGAACATAATGCAACACTCACTTTTCTTTCCGGTTTCTGGATTTCAGGTAACACTGCACAGAATGGCTTAATAACTTCTAGAAATTTTACTGTTCCAGAAAAACACACACACACAAAAGAAGACAGAAAAATATATTAATAAACATTTATGAATTTATAAAATTTCATAGAACTTTATTTGGCTTCCAAAACTGCCTGAAAACTAATACCCTCTTCTTAAAACAGCTGAAAACAGGGCAAAAATGTGAAATAGAATTCTTGTGCTAATCAGATTTGGCCCATTCTTTTTTTCCACAGCTGGAATAATTTTAGAGAAGTGGTGTTGTATGTATCACCAGAAGTGAACTGAATTGTACTTCATCTAAAAATAAATGACCTAATATCACTCTGTGCTAGTTAAACACAGAATGACACTGACATCAAAAGGTATCCAAATATTACAATCTTGAGTTTTCTGAAGTATTTAGTTGAAAAAATAATTCAATTGTTAAGAAATATTTAGAAATTGTAATTTAAATGAGTGCAACGCTTATTCTGATTGGAACTTCAGGGGATTGTATTTTAGTTTTAATACATCTCTCTTCACAGTTTCCCCTTTAAAAACACAGAAAAGCTCAACAGTTTGAGCTCTTTTTCTGGGGAAAAAAATTAAATCAATTTAGGGGAAAAAAAATCAAAGCCTATGTGCTTGGTGGGGAATTCGCCCTTCAAAACATGACTATTATTTCCAGTCTCAACACACTGGCACAGACATGAAAAACCACCATTCATTTACAAAGAGAATGCATTTATTACACTGCAGAATGCATTTATTACATTGTAAATAACATTTTGGCTGTAGTGCCACGCTTACATGTACACTCTGATGTGACATATGTCTCCTCTATGTATCCCAAGCCCTCACACAGCTCGTTGGAAGGTGCACCTCACTCCACAGAGGGTGGCACAGCTCCACTGTGAACAAGCTATCAGAGCATCATGCAATGGGTCAGGCTGGAAGGGACCACAGGGCTCATCTGCTCCGACCTCCCTGCTCAAGCAGGGCCATCCCAGAGCACTGGACATAGGGATGTATCCAGACGCTTCTGGAATATCTCCAGTGAGTGAGACTCCACAGCCTCTCAGACAATCTGCTCCAGTGCTCGGTCACTGCTCAGGACAGAAATTCTCCTTCATGTTCAGGTGGAATTTCCTGGGCATCAGTTTCTGCCCTTTGCCTCTTGTCCTGTTGGGTGGCATCACTGAGCAGAGCCTGGTCCATCCTCTGACACCCACCCTTTAAACACATATACACACATATATGTGTACATAGGGTATATATGCTCCATACGTGTCTACAGCGCATATATATACACACAGTAGGGCTAGAGTGGAACATGTCACCCCACCACGAAGCAGCGCCCGGCCTCACGCCGTGCCCGGCAGCACCGACCCTGCGCGGGGAGCGAGTGCTCGGCACCGCCGGCGCTGCATGCGGCGGCACCCGCAGCACGGGGCCCCATCACCGGCCTGCCCGGGGCCGCTGTTCCCCAGCCCGGCCCCCGGCCCGCTCCCTCCCGGCTCTGCCCGCACTCACTGCCCATGGCGGTGGCGGCCCGGCCGCGGTCCCAGCGCTGTCACCGCCGCTGTCGCCGCCGTCACGTGACGCGCGCTGCGGACGGGCCGTCCCTCCCCGCCCGGGGGGACGCGGCGGTGCCGCCCTCACGGAGCGCCCCCCGCGCCTTCCCCAGGCGAGGGGAGCCGGACCGGCGGGACCGGCGGGATCGGCGGCCGCTGAGGGCCGGGGTCACACCGAGGGGCGGGCAGGCGCCGCGGCCGAGCACCGCGCTCCCGGAGTGCTCCGCGCGGCCGAGGGGCGGGCGCGGCCCCGCAGCGCCTCAGCGCTGCCCGGCGCGGGCAGCCCCCGCCCCTCAGAGCCCGCTCGGCCTGCGGGGTCTGCCGGTACAGCCCGAGCCGCTGAAAAGCACAGGCTGAGCGGTTTGCTGCCGAAGTGTTTTGTTAACAGCCCAATCCACCCGTATTGACAGAGGGATGTGATAATTGCACGGGGTGAAAGGACACTGGGACATTGGAGCATGACCAAAGGGCAACAGAGCTGGGAAGGGGTCTGAAGCATAAGTGCCATGAGGATCAGCTGCGGGAGTAGCGATTGTTCCTCCTGGAGAAAAGGAGGCTTGGACTCCCTGACAGGAGATTGTACCAGGTGGGGGTCGGGCTCTGTTCCCGCCTAACCAGTGACGGGATGAGAGGACATGGCATCAAGCTGCGCCAGGGGAGGTTTAGGTTGGGCTCTGGTAGGAATTTCTTCACAGAAACGGCGATTAGACCTTAGAATGAGCTGCCCAGGGAGGTGGTGGCGTCACTGTCTCTGTAGGTGTTTAAGGAAAGATGGATGTGGCCCTCAGTGCCGTGGTCTGGTTGACAAGGTGATGATCAGTCATAGGTTTCGACTCAACAGTTTTGGGGGTCTTTTCCAATCTATTTGATTTTGTGTTTCTGTGATTCTCTGAAGTGAACCTGAAAACCTATTCCAATATCATCCCACAATCACCAAAACTGGCATCGCCCCTATAGAGCTCTTAGTTACAATAGCCAGTGGTATATAAAATTAGGATCATCCGAATTTATTGCAAGATTTAGATATGACCATTAAAAATAGTACTTATTCTTTCTGAATAACTGTTCTGATGCACAGGCTTGAATTCTTCCTGCATTAGGTTAAATTTCCAACAGAGAACACAAAATGTGTGAAGCATTAGGGCTCCTCCAAAACCTTGAATCTATATTTTGGATTTTATTCAGAATTCACTACGAAATCCTCTTAACTAAGACCTTGCTACAATACCAAAACAACTTTGTTCAATGGCTTCCCTTATCTGAAATCACTTAGAAAAGTTTTTTCTTCCAGTTCTATATACTCATAACTTAACAAATACTAATGAGCAACTCCGTAGCAATTACTTTCACCTAGAGTTCTTGTACAGTCTGACAAATGCCCGTAATTATCATGCCTGGCAGTGTACCTGTAGATCATAATCTCCAAATAATAGCTGGGTTAGTAGCTAAGCTTCAGGAAGTTTCTTGTAATCACCCTTCATTCAGATTTTTAGTCATACTTATTTGAGAAGTTCATTAAATTACAGGTTGTGTTAGCAATCCCTCCTGTGTCTAAGTTACTGGCAACTGTTTTGATGATTGATAAAAAGTCCAGAAATTTCTTCAGTCCATACTCACACAGATACACCATTTCAGGTGTGCTGAACAAATGTTTCTATGTCACCTTCTTCACTGACAGAAGCAAAAAAAATAAAAATGCAGTACTGTTTTCTTTGCTTATTCAAAATACCACTGTGTTCAGAATTTTCCATCTTCAAAGTTCAGACTGTATTTTTTAAATCTAAAATAACATCACTGGTACCAAAATACTTGTTTTAATACGTTTTCCTGGTGTGTTTTCTTTCTGAGAGCTTTTGCTCCCTTTAATGAACTGCTCAACATAAGAGCTCATTCCTTCATGTCTTTACTGTTTTCCCTACTAGTCCTGCACTTCTCCCTGAAAATCCTGACACACCACAATGCACAAATTCTGTAACTCTTTCTCTAGTTAGCTCCTTGCTATCTAACAGCACATAAACCTCACCTCTCCTTGTGTTAATGATCCACAGAATTTCCTGTCCAAGGGCTGGGACCTGCTCTGTTACTCAGCCTGTGTAGCAGCTCAGGCACAGGGTGTGACTCTTGGGGTGTCCTGTGCAGGGCCTGGAGCTGGACTCGATGATCCTTGTGGGTCCCTTCTAATTCAGGATATTCTATGGTTCCATTCTAATTCCTGCTTCTCTTTTCCCCAAAGCAAAAGCAATCCAGCACTGTGCAGGGTGTCCCAGCTGGCATGCAGAGAAAAGCAAGGCACACAGATGGAATGTGTGCATCCAGAATTGCTGGGAGAAACAGCGTCAGCCCCTCAGTCGGCACGCGCTTTGCCTTGCTCCTGGGAGCTGTTATCCATCATGCAAGAGCAGTGTTCTGCAGGCAGTCTGTGGCAGCTGACTGAGGAAAGCTGTGCTCAAGCTCTCCTACCCCAGGAAAGCTGTGCTCAAGCTCTCCCACCCCAGGAAAGCTGTGCTCAAGCTCTCCCTTCCTACCCCAGGAAAGCTGTGCTCAAGCTCTCCCTTCCTACCCCAGGAAAGCTGTGCTCAAGCTCTCCTACCCCAGGAAAGCTGTGCTCAAGCTCTTCCTTCCTACCCCAGATCACTGGGGAGCTTTGTGGCACACTGATGGGGCTGGGGGCACTGAGCCAAGCAGCACTACAGAAATGGCTTTGTCTCCCACCAGGAGGATCAAACAGGGTCAGAACACTTGAGCATCCTTTATTTGGTTAGATAACCAGACCTGCACAGCCTGTGGGGGAATGGTGCATAACAAGGTCAGGTTTGGACCACGTGAAACTCAAAACATGGGCTCTGTTCTTCCCTTGTGTGCACTAAAACTGTGGGTTTATGTAATCATCAGTGTGCAGTCAAGGCTGGTGACTGTGCTCTACAACTTCCTTGGCTACAGCTGCAGCCAAAGCAACGTTACTCTTCAGCCTCCTTTTTCTAGTTATCAGCAGAAATTTAAAGCAGAATATGCCTTGATTAGATAAAGCTGTTCAGGATGTGCAGGAGGTTGTGCAGTTTGCTAGAGCAAAGTGGGAGAAACATGACTTCATGTTGCTGTGATGGATGTGCTAATGCAGCGATGTGAAACGTGACAGAACAGAGGTTACAGAGATAACTTCTGGGTTGCATGAAGTTCATGAATGAGTATGTCAATTAACTAGGATGAAATACTAAAGCAGCCTTCAGAGATGATTTTGGGAGCTGTCTCCCCAAGTGAATGCACACCCTGCCTGTAACCTGCTTTTTCTCACCTACCATGACTTTCCATCCACAAGTGCTGGGTCCAGTTAAACCCCACTTGTTTCTTTTCAGAAATGTCTCTGGCTCACAGTGAGTTTGGATTACTTAGGCATTGCTTGCACAGGTAACTGAGAAGAGCAAGGAGGTGCCAACTTCACCCTGAAACCAGGAAAGGAAAAATGCTGGGAGAAATCTTGTGGTGGAGGAAATGCTGCTGTGGGGCAGTCAACACTGGGGTCAGCCTGGGATGCCTGTCTTCCATTTGGTTTCATTAGTCTCCCATTTAACCTCAGTGTTTTGGTCCTTTATCCTTTGTTTCTCAATAAAGACTGATTTCTTTCCTTTCTTGCATGGTTCCCCCAGTGGCAGTTCTGCTTTAACAATTCAGACACTGAGAAGAGCACCAATAACCACAACAGATTGCATTCCTGGCCCTCAAGGAAAGAAAAAAGAGACAATCCACAACATTCTACTATAGAAATGGCTTATTCCCAGGCATGGGGATGCATGTATTTGATCAAGCAGTACTAACACTTCTGTAGAAAGAGACACGCACCATCCCAGAAAACTGTCAAATACAAATAAGCAGCAAGATATAAGGTATTTCACAGTCATCAATCTGTCCCCTGGACTGGATTCTTAACTTTATAAAGACATTTTTTAGAAAATTGTATAAGAGAAAAAGAAGTATCAGTAGTAACAGGCGCTTCTCATTGCTAGGTATTCTCCTACATGAAAAAATTGCTTCATCACTACCAAACTTATTCCACTTTTTTTTTTTTTTTCATTTTGGAGAGCTAAGAGTCTTAAGGATCCGGCTTTTGTTCTTCACAGGAGGGAGCACTAAACATGACCGACAACAGGAACAGTCCATCCATTGAAAACTTAGATAAATGTGTGTGTCAGAACATCTTCCTGCTGCTTGCTGTGGAGGGTTCCAATGCCGACTGCTGGGGCAGGTAGAGGAGGTCTGCTCACAAGATGGAGCTGAAATTTGAGTCGTGGGGAAATGATTAATGAAGGACAGAATCACATCTCGAGGTCCTGATGCCACAGTGGTATCTGCTGTCAGATAACAGGGCAGCCCCAGCTGGAAGTAATGCAGGAAGTTATCCCTCATCTCCCAAAGACCATGGCTCCAAGGACTTTATAGTGCATGATCTACCAGAGCAAATGGCACCTTTGTATTTTCCTCCTACTCCCCTACTTGAGATTTTTCATTATCCTGTCTACTTTGACTGAGCACCATGTAAAATAAAGTTCCAGTCCTGCTCTTCACCAATGGTGCTATAAAGAGCAGAAGTAGCTGAAATTAGAACACATACTTCATTTAGGCATCAAGACTAGGTTTTTTGTTAAGCACCATCAAATTTTGCATTCAAGGAGAACTTCAAACTTCATTTTAAAGACTAAAACACCCTGAGGACATCTTACCTTAAGCCCCAGCTGCTTTTCAAACCGTGGAGACACAAAGGACCATGGACCCATGTTCTGTGGTTCTTCCTGACTCCATTTGAAGACTAAAAGAAGGATAAGGGTACATAACAAACAAACATATTTATCTTTTCATCAGAGAAAGAAAAACAGTTTTTTGTTTTTGTAGCACCTCTAGTTTTTTTTGTCTTGGCACTGCCTTTGAAATGAAGGCATGCCAGACTCAATTCCCTTGCAGCTCAGAACTGAATTCAAACCTAAAGTATGTCCACCATTAGGGTATACTGTGTGTATATTCTGCTTTTCTACTGCTGTTTTCAAAAGTTACTAAAAGGACTGGACTGTAAAGACCAATGCAAAAAATATCTCAAATTGTTTGCTCTGATTTTCAGTGCTGCTTCTTGGAAGCTAACAATAGCAGAGAAAAGAGTTCTTTTAACACAAGTGATAAAAATTTCTGAAACATCCCACTCCAGAAACATTTGGATGTATGAGGGGGAGAACAAAGAGGAAAAAGCCACTACAGCTCTTCATCTGAAAAGGCAGGCAACAGATTTAGTTCAGTACTTCAAAGAGACTAGAAACACAAAGGTAGAAGCTTGGCTGACCTTTTGCATGGCTGTACTTGCTCAACTCTTGCTGCAGAGCTTCCAGGGGGAAAGGACAAAGCTCTTCAAGTCTCAGAATAGCTGTGCTGTGCTGCTTCTCTTCCAGTGTTTCTCTTTGCTTCACCAGAGCATAGTAATGCTTTCCAGAACACAGCACCACTTGGGTGACACTAAAAAAAAAAAAAAAAAGAATGCTTCCAAGTTTAGTGTTTTCCAGAAACTTGATGCAGAACAGCTTCACACTTCTAACCAAAAAAAACAGTCAAACTTCAAAGACAACTTCATAAAGCTAAATTGCTTCCCTAGACCCTCTTTTCTCTTCCTTGACCTCCCTTCCCTCCAACTGCTGGCAAACTAACCTTTGGGGACAGTATGCCAGAGGTCCTGTTTCTTCAGTAATTCTGAGAAAGTTACCTTACAATGGGATTGATCTCTCTTAGCTCGGACTATTAAAATTTAAACACCCAGTCAAAGGTAGTCATCTCTGTAGAAAATAAATCAGAGGAAGGGAAGTCCCTCCAGAGGACAATTCTCTGCCACGCCAAAGCAGGACTACTTGCTGGAGAGACACTACACCCTCCTGGAATCACAGAGGTCTTGCCTGCCTAATTTTACTGGAAAAAGCAGTGAGATAAACTACACCCTTTGTGCCTCACCATCCCACTTAAAAAACCCAAGAGGCTGAGGTACTTCCAGCCTTTTGATTGGGGATCAAGATGTGAAGTGGAAGGAGGCTCAGACTACTGGGAACAAACAGTAGATAAGGGGAAAAATATTAAGGCTGAATTGGTCATTCTGAACAGGATTCACTGTAACATCTGAAAGTAGAGAGATGTACACACACTTTATTATTGCCCCACCTCATCAGCTCAGGTATTCCAGCCCCAGAACAGAAATCCTAGATTCAGTTTTGGGCTACTCATGACAAGAAAGACATTGAGGAGCTGGAACCCACCCAGAGAAGGGAACGGAGCTGGTGAAGGGTCTGGAGCACAAGTCTGTGAGAAGCAGCTGAGGGAGCTGGGGGACCTCAGCCTGGGGAAAAGGAGGCTCAGGAGGTGCCTCTTCACTTTCTACAAGTCCCTGACAGGTCATAAGCAGGTGGGAGTTTTGTCTCTTCTCTCTGGTAACACACAATAGGACAAGAGGCAACAGCTTCAAGTTGCACCAGAGGAAGTTTAGATTGGACATCAGGAAAAATTTCTTCACTGAAAGGGTCAAGCCTCCCAGGGCAGTGGTGGAGGCATCATCTTGGAGGTATTTAAATGTCTAGATGTGACACCTCGGACATGGTTTAGTGGTAGACTTGGCAGTGCTGGGCTAAGATTGGACTTGATGATCTTAAGGATCTTTTCCAAGCTAAACAAATCTATGATTCATGTCACAGCTGCTCCAGTGACTGTCAGCTAATGGACATGGTGCAGAGTAGGCCCCATCAGGTTGGTAACTACAGTCACAAACTCCCTGTCAGGCCAAGGGGTGACAGGCTAAACACTCCACTGTTTTGCAGACAGATGTGGTAACTACCAACAACTACCAACAGAGGAAAAGGAGAGGAAGTAGAACTAACCATAGTTGCCTACCATAAAACATTTTCCCCTCAAGTCACCTCTTTCATATCACCTCAAATGTGAGTTGTTGGGTAGGAGAAAGGGACAAGATATCTCTTTTGAGTTTCTCCTCTAAGAAAATAGAGCTACCTTTTAGGATCTACTGAGAAGTCACCAATGACAGGCTTGAATGTGGTCCCTGGGGCCATTTCTTCAAAACTTGATACAGCAGCCTACATGGGGGAAGAGTTGGAAGTTACCAAATCTTGCTGCTTTTCCCTTAGGCCAGAGTCAGAAAGAATACCGAGACAGGGTTTTGGTAAGTACAAAATATACAGTCTTCCCTCTCCCTCATATTCCTACTCCCAGTGAAAAGTGAGATGATAAGCTTCCCAAGAACACCATCAGGCCAGGAATGGACCCTATTTCTAGCTCACCTCCACCCAGCTTTAATCTTCAAATTGTTGGGTCCCAAACAGGGAAAATTCCACTGATTTGACCCCAAAACAGCAATCACAGAACACAGAAGAAGAAAAAAAAAAAAGAAAAAGAAAAAAAAAATTAAAAAGAGGGGAAGAGAACAAAAAAGAGGATAAAGAGAAAAAAAAAAAAAAAAAAAGAAAGGAAGAGGAAGGACATTTCTCAGCTTACTGGAAGCCTGAGTAACACTTTGGGAGAAGCAACAATGAGAGGTTTCCTGAAGTTTCGGACCATTTGCCTCCGGAGTAGATGGAAATACTGTGCTGGGGTGGTGGGATGCACAACTGACATGTTGACCTGGTCACCATCAACACCCTCTTCTGAGCTGTCACACATCTGTACAGGGGGAACACAGTGATAACTTGTCAAAAGCAAGCAGTGAGACTAATATGCAAGAAAGAATCTAGGCACATGAGGCATATTGACCTGAAGAAGAACAGATGAGTAAATATCCAAATTCAAGAGAGGAACAACTTCAGAGAAGAAATGGGTTCAGCATTTAGCTGGTAAGATTGTGCCTGAACTGCCTCCTTGGAGCTCATTGCAGCCCAGCTCCCAGAGCACGGACTGCCAGGGCTGTGCTGGGCATGTGTGACCCTGGGAGGTGTGGTGGGTACCTGTAGGAACCGTTCCATCCGGCAGGACGAGTGCTCAGGGCCTGCACCATCATAGCCATGGGGAAGAAGAATTACTATCCCACTCTGCAGAAGCCATTTAGCCTCACCTAGAAACACAAAACAAAGAGGAAGGAAAGGATGATTTCCACAGAACATAAAGCCACAGAACACATTACTTTGAACAAACTGCTCTAGAAAAAGAATAGCCAATTTCTACATCATTAAATACATGCCTGAAACATGCTCCTGGCATTTTGGTCTGAGGTTCATTACAGTGAAATAACACGTGTAAGGTGATCTGAATTTTCTGAAATCATCAGGTAGCTCTGGGCTCCCAGAAGACTTAAGTCTCCACATGGAGCACATGACACAGTGAAATTTTAAAACTTCATCTCTGCAGGTGTGATCCCAGCAGCATCCTGTGAGCCAGTCCCGGCTAACACAGCAATGCTCATTCCTCTGAGCTCTGCCAAACCTCCTGCACTATACAAGAGATTACAATCAAATGCAGAATTTGGGTGAGATAAGAGGGCCTCTGAATTGCCTCCTATGACTACAGAAGTTTTATAGCTGAGTACTCAGAAAACATGTTACAGTCAAACTTAGTAAGGTCTGTGGGGTTTTTTGTTTGTTTCTTTTAAGTAATCACTATTTTCCTTCTCTATTGCTTCAAGAATTTTTGAGATGCTTCATGAAGGAAAGGTACAGCCTATAAAGCTATCAACCATATACACACACAGTAAAATACATGTTGGAGAAGAAAGGCCATAACTATAATTAACTGTCCTTTTGTAATGACTGGACTCTGTGAAGGACTCTTTCATTTTAGATGTACTGTCTTCAGAGAAAAGCTGCACTGAAGTCAGGACCTCACAGGCTCATAGTACTTCTTGAGGAAACAGAATTCTTTGTATAACATGCCATTTTACTTGAAAGAGGAAGAATTCTCTAAAAATGTGCATAATAAAAATGATTAATTCTTAAATATATTAGTTCCTTGTACACTTACCTCCAGAGATGAAAGTGTCAAATATTATCTGGGCTCCATTAAAGAAGTCTCCAAATTGAGCTTCCCAAATTGGCAGTAACTTAGGGCTCTCAATGCTCATTCCATATTCAAAACCAAGCACAGCTTCTTCAGACAAGGGACTGTTACTCACCTAACAAAAGGAAATTGTTGGGAGGGGTGGATGAAGAAGAAGACAACCAAGGGTTAAGAAGCACTGGAACCAGACAAACAGTGCTGACAACACACACTACTAAAGGCAATTGATAGGCACTGTTTTTTTTGCTTTTGAATGAAGGCACTGAGGGGAAAAGAATAACATTCGATCTCTCAAGGAAAAGCAAACCCCCTTGTTAAAGCTGTAATTTATAACAATAAAGAATAGGGATGCCCTGACAGTTTTTATGTCCCTGTATCTGGGGTTTGCCAGAACATACACTAGGCCTACATATGTCTCAGCAGCTTTAAAAAAATCCATTGTTTCAGCACAGTTTGAAGAAGGTGGTCTTGTGGGTTACAGAACCTACCTCTAGGAAACCCTTCTGGTCTGGGGACATGTGATTCAGAGGAATGTAGGTATCATCTGTCTCTTGGCAAACCAACATCACGTGTCGTTGGCTGAAGGTTCCTCTGCCAACATCTTGTCCACTTAGTCTGATATTAAACCCTTGTCAAGCAATAAACACAGCACCAGATCAGCAAGTTATGTAAAAATAAAATATGCAGGACATAATTCTATCTCTTGTTATATCTCTTTTTGGATTTCCCCTCATCAGCAACATCAAATCTGAGATGCAATTCTTAACCAGCAACAGCTCCAACTGTCAAGCACACAGATGCTCTGACATTATTTTGGGTAAAATGGTTCAATTTACTGAAGCAAACTGCAAAAATAAAAATGTGCATTCTGTATCACATGTAAATGGAGATTTGAATTCAGGCTAGAGAGGAAGGAGAAGAAATAGTAGCATAAAGCACATGAAGTACTGGTGAACCACACTGATGTCAGCTGCACTGCTTGTGCTCAGCTCTATGCAGAAAGGTTTTTGGGGAGTGAGAGGGAGCTACAGTTCTTTGAAGATATTTAAGACTCAGTCTACAAATATTAGTGACACATAGGATACATATGTGCCTTCTCTTAGACCATGCAAATTCTCAAATTTATAAATCATAGCAATCTTTTTACTTAGAAACACCAAAAAAAATCTAATGTTATCCTTTATTGACATTAAAGCAAAAATATTTTACTGTCTGCTGTCTAGTTCCTCTTACCTTGACTCAGCAGAGAACCAAATGCTAAAGTTTCAGCTGTTGCCCAGTCCAGCTTTTTTCCTTCCTCCATTTTTTGAACCCTTGACTAAGCAAATAAAGAAGAAAAAATTTTTTTTCTTTTTCCATCTGTAGCTTTTTTGGTGGCACAGACTAATATTAGAAACTAGGAAAAAAGCAACACACTACAGAGGGAAATGCTATATTCCTGCAGCCAGCTAAGGCTGCATCAGAATTGAGAGCCTTATTTCAGCACATCCTAAAGAAGATTGCCTGAGGACCACAGAATCACAGGTCACCCATGTATTCACCTCCCAGTCAACAAACTATGGACTGATGAAGTAATCCTAGTCAGAAAATATTTAAAATCATAGCAGAGCACAGAGTGTAGTCTTGACAGACTTCTGGTCTGTCTGGTTAGCAGTGATGAAAGATACCAGGTGTAAGTATTTCAGTCTCCAGAACTCCTCCTTGTTCTGGCCTGCAGAACTGTGACAAATGATCGAACTGAGCTGTGGAGCTCTTGCCTTTGGCTGAGAAGACAAAAACATCAGTCTTTTGAAATACTGAACTCACAGCCTCTCTCTGGCTGCCAAGCAGACACCTGCACACACTCATTATCCATCAAAGGGAAACATTCACAAACCCCAAACTGATCCAAACCAAACACCAACTTAGGAGTTATCAAGCCCAGACTATCAAACCAGGCCACGTGTTGTGTAGTGTTTATATATATAAGTTATAAACCACTCACTACTGGCTTTAGAAACTGTGTACACTATTGCCAGGTTCCTGAATCATTCCTTTATGAAGTACTCATTCTAATTACCAACTATATAAATGTTTGTAACTTATCGTAATAGTTTCTATTTGTTAGACTAATAAACTGTATTTTCTATAAGCTTTTTTCTTCATTGCAATAAAATATTGTTGAAATAACAAACTGAAGTACACGGTCAGACTTGGGGAAAAAATATTTCTTCAAAAGTGGAGAAAAAATGGCATAATCTCAGCCTTGAAACAGAGTGAGCTGTTTTTCCTAGATAATACCATGTTATTCTCTAACTGGGAACCCTGCTGTGTTTAGACTTTTTCCTGTAAGAGGTTTGAGCCATGGGATCAGAAGTATCATGATGCTCTACTCACCTGAGCATAGGTCTTCAGGAGATGGCTGTGCATCTGGAGCTCTTCGGGCACCTGCACAGACTTGGCTCCAATGAACTGCAGGAGCGGCACAGGCATCCCCGTGTCCCAGGTGGTGATTTTGGCAGAAGGCTCCACGAGGCCTTTCCAGTGAGCCTGCAGGTTGGTAGGGGGTGGGCTGTACGAAGTCATGTTGGCAAGGTGATCGTTCAGCTTGGAATAGCATGTGGTCTTTATCTCAGACACTTCAGCCTCAGTCATGAGCCCGGCAGCCGTGAGGTGCTCTGCGTACATGTCTGGGATGCTCTTACGGGATCTGCCAGGGAGGGAATCAAACCACAGAGATATTAAGCCTAAAAGCAGTGTCACAGGAGAACAAGGAAACACCACCTTACTACACTCATGTACCACGGAAAACTCATATAAATGGTGTCCTGGTGCATTATACTTATTTGCATGAAGTTCAATTTCCTGGCATTTTCAAAAAGATAACAGGTCTCTTAGAGATGTATTTTACAGTTCTTTATTAAAAAAGTGAAAGCGCTGTAGTTGGCAGTTACAGGTAAAAACAAATCAAAACCCCCTCTGTGCTACCGTGCATATTTTCTTCAGAGAAATTCACAGTAGGATTTCTGCATTGGAGACAATCAAGGCAACCATTCAAACTCCTCACCTAAAATACCAGAATTCACTGGCAAGTGCATTTTTGTGTGAGGATAAGGATGGAATCTGAATACATTTAAATGCTGATAAAGATGAGTCCCCAGGGGAAGCAGCAGGACCAGACAAAGACAAGATAAGCATCACACCGGCTTCCTGCCGATTCTCCCACAGCATGCACACTTCTCCGTGGTACACAGAAGGCAACTTTGCCCTCTGATTACCAGTGGTCACAAATTTGAAATCCAAGAGCTATGTCCAAGATTGTTCTCAAAAAAGCACCAAGCCACACATTCAAGAGCCAGCAGTAATGATTGCTCATTAACATCTGATTATCAGACTCACACTGTAGTCAAGGGCTGCTGACAGTCCAGCTGCACCTTACATAAAAGACCTGTGGCTATGTCAAAGGATCTCACACAGAGACTTCTGTTGCAGCAGCAAGACTTGAGGTGGTGCAAACATATTTTGGTTGTACAACCCTTACCTGATGATTTTGTACATGCTGGGGTTGGTGAAGAAGGGCTCATCAAGCTCATTGTGGCCCCACTGCCTGTAGCACAGCAAGTCCACAATGACGTCCCTGCGGAACTGGCGCTGGTACTCCACAGCCAGTCGTGTGGCACGGACAACTTCCTCAGGATCGTCCCCATTCACATGGATAACTGCACATCCAATGATTTTACCTGCCCAGGGATTCAAAACACAACAGCAATCACACCCAACCCCTTCCAAAGAAAGCAGACACACACCTGCTCTACTGAAACTACAGACAGCCCATGTGAAGTAACTATAATAAAAACAAATAAAAAAATATGTTCTTTGTGATGAGAGCTGGGGTAAGGAGAGGAGACTTGCCTGAGAGAACATGCAATTAGCCCAACCTGTTGTATTTGTCAGTTTGAGCACAACTTCTTTACAAGCATTTTGTTCCCAGAGGGCTTTCTATACACAGTTCCTGCATCATATTAATCTGGTAGTGTACAGGAACTGGGAGAGAACTACTTGGTTGTTTCTCTTTCAGATAGAAATTGAGTTTTATTTCCTTCTTATCTTAAGCTATCGCTACTATGAATTCATACAAGCCAAAAGCAACTGTCTCCCTTATTAGTAGGGAGTATCATTCTGTCCACTGCTCCTCCAGGCAGAAAAATCTCTTCATTAAAGAGAACACTGTAAAATTTCAGTATCTTAACACCCTCTCCTGTATGACAATTTGGCTGCAAGCAAGAGTGTTCCTTTTGTACTTTATCTGTCCAAATTCTGGAAACTAAGATACTTCAGCCATTCCTGGCTCATGTCAAGTTTTCCTCCCAAGGAAAATACTAAAGCTCAGCTACATAACAGTCCCTCCTCACTGACAGGTAAGAAGAAATGAAAACTAAGGATGGAGGCAAAAAAACCCAAGCAAAACCAATCCATAACACAAAACCAGCCCAGGGGAAACAGTAATAACATATGCTATCTACTTTACCAGATTTAATGAATCTACTTGTTTGGTTTGACAAAACCATAAGACAAACACTTGATGTTAGGTCAAAAGCATATTTTTGATTTTTATTTATAGGAGACATTAACAAGATAACTATTGCAATGTCTCTGATCTTACTGGTAATGCATCTGTTTATCACTAAGAAAGATCAGTCCAAAACAACGCTTCTAGTTTAGGCATAGAAAGGTCTTGAGCTTCATCTTTAACTTGAAAGCTCAACCGGCTCACGTGACAACAAACAAAACAGAAAAAATGGAGGAGTATCTGGCGTAAAAATCTTGCTCAGAAATTACAGAGATTATTTTAATGAAATTTAACAAGATATATTTAAAACAGATCTGTTATATACTCCATTGCAATACCTTTTTAAAAGCTGTCAATAATATAACAGAAACTGAGTATAAAGACCTCACAGAAATCTTGCAATTATTTTATCATATCCTGTAAAAATGTGACGAGATTTTCCTTTGATATTTAGTCTTTGCCATAAAGCAGATAGGAGACGGCATATTTTTAGCATCTGAATTGTTGCTAGTAGGAGGAAATAATAATAATAATAATTCTAATTCCTACTCTACCATGAAACTGGAGTTACAATAATCTCTCCCTAGAGCTGACAGGCAGTTGCTATAAAAAGTCCATTGCACAGCTTACACTGCAGTTAAAAATCCTTTCTGACACAACAGGCAATCTTCCTTGTGATTCAACCCTACCTACCAATGTCACTGCAGTACAGAGATGACCTTCCTCGCTCTGGAGGAGTGGTATAGCCCAGCTGGTTATTAACAATCAAATGGATGCTCCCACCAACTCTGAAATGTGGTAGATTAGAGAGGGTCAGTGTTTCAGGAACAATCCCTTGTCCAGAGAAAGCAGCATCGCCATGAACCTGCATCAGGGAAGAAGAAGGGAAGAAGATGGAAAAGTCTCGTTAGGAAACACTGGAGGAACAGCAAAATCAAAACCATAACTCATTAAGTAAGACCTCCTAAATTGCGTACATGGAACAGACACAGTTCCAGCTGGACCCACTTCTTAATCTCTCTCAGAATACTGTTTCCATGACTTGAGAGTTTATGTAGCCTTATGACTAACACAAGGTCATGGCAGCCAACATATGTACATGAATGCCTGCTGTAATTCCTACCTGGAACTCACCTATAATCTCTTAAAACTGACCCAACCAGTGTCCAGGTGACTGCAAGCTTCCTGGCTATGGCAAAGCTGCAGCAGTCAGAGGCAAACCACTGACCCCTGAACAAAAGGAGCCACTCACCACAGCATTCACTACACCCTTGCTCAAGGTGAATGTTGGTGAACTGGGACTTATGTGGGCAAACCAAAATTCCCACCTTACCAAACAGACAAAAACAGAAACACAAGTGGAAAATGAACTGAATGTAAGCACTCAAAGAAAAACTTTCAGAAGGAAAAAAACTCTAAGTTCTTAGTTACATTTTGAAATAGCAATAGCAAATAAGTGCTGCAAATAAAAAAATAGTTTGGAAGGGGAAGGGAGAATATTGTGATAGCCAACCCAGGTTTCCAACAAAGGCTACAGGTACTGGAGTGAGTATCATCTAACATCTCAATGTTTTGAAATTGGAGACAGCTGTCCATTGATGAATATTATGACAGTTCCCTCAGAATGCAGACTCAATCATTTGCAAATTAAATTCACTATGGAGATTGAAGTGCTTCCTTATTGAAACCAGATGACAGTTCTGCTTTCTACCTATGAAATAGCAGTTTCAAGCCTTAAGAGACATCTGCAAGTACACCAAGATAAATAACAGAGGTTCAATCAACCAGTGAAACAGCAGCACTGGATTTTATACCCTTCCAGTACAGATTTTTAAGAGGTATCACAGCAAAACAAAGGTAACTACTGCAAGAGAGACAAGCCAGCATCCCCACTCTATCCCTTACCATTCTACACTTGTTCCTGAAGTGCTGGGTTTTTACCTTTCCCTCCTGGTTTCTTCTGCTGCCTAAGAAGACTACATATCTCAATGACAGCACTTGAGTGAAGACCCTAAAGCATCTGAGAAGACTTCATGGCCTTTAGCATTTCTTAAAGCATTAAAGCCTAAGGGCAGTGACTATCCAACTACACAAGACTGTTCATATGCATCTCAAACCCCAGAGGATTCAATTCCTGTGATGCAGGTAGGATTTTACTCCCAGATTTCATTTCAAATCATAAACATCAGTAGTTGCCTGATGTCCAGGAAATAGAGTTAAAGTACGTGAGAAGGTGAAAAATAAACCACTCTTCAGCAGAGATGGACAATTAAATACTGCAGAGATGTCCATCTTGGTAGTTAACCAAGAAGAGTTTTATAATCCTTATAAATTCTGAGCACACTGAAGTTCCAGAAGAGAAGACCTTCAGACCTTGGGCAATGAAGCTCACCACTGACAATGGCACCTTAACTGATCTTTACTCATTCTCCCCTCAAACTCTGGTACTGAGGCTTGTGGAAGAAGAGAAGAAATGCCAGTATAAACCCAGAGCGTCTACACTCTTTTCTCAAGAGAAAGCACTGTAAAAACAGAAAGTTTAAAGTCAAACTCCCAAACCAAAATTCTGAAACACAAGGTGCCTGCTTTCATCTCTTTCTTCTCAATTAGCTGAATGAGAGTAGTTAACAGTTACAACCAAAAATTCACCTGTTTTCCATCTCATTTGTGTACCTTTTAAAAACACAGTCACAAGTAATGATGATACATTTTCTTCCTTTTAGGAATACTTTGAATCGGTTTACTAACATGGATGCGTTTAGCACAGAAACAAATGTATCTCTTCTCTACTATGCAATCCTCCCTATCACCCCTACAAATCCTAAGGAGTGAAATTTTTCTTGGATAGGGAGGGTCCATTTATCATGAAGAATCGTTCTTTAAAGAGTCATAGTACTTTCATTACTACATGGTGAAGATCTACCATTATGAGAAAGAAAGAACAGTATCTTCTCAAACTAAGAAATACCTGCACTGAAAGATAGAGACACATTGGGAATCAAAAGCTGGCTTCACTAGCGAGCTCTGAAGACTTTTTTTAAAATAAGAAACTAAGAACTCCAACTTGCCCAGAATATTTTGTACTCTCATGTATTCTCATGTCTCATGCTTTTTCACAATACCCCACCCTTCCAAAAGAAAGCAAAACATTTTTTTTAACTGAAATATGTTTTCACTCCTACAAGTAACTTTCTCCATTTTGTTTGTTACACTTTACAGAACATTTCTGCCCAACTTGTTTTTAGCCTTGGCTTTAAAATGTTAAGAGTTCAATTCACTTGTTTTTCCAACTTGAAGTAAATACAAGAGAAGAAAATTTATCAAGGAACTATTTAGGATTGCTTCTACAGCTATACAAGTCAGTTCAAGGAGTAAAAACGAATTCCAGTAGAGTCTTCAACAGTACCATAACAAAATTACAAAATTCTAAACCCTCCTGTATATTTTGCAGCCTTGTTGACAGTTCTCCTCCAAACCCATTAATTTGAAAGGTTTCCCATGGCAGTTTAAATGCAAAAGTGAGGAAAGGCACATATGGCTCTCAGTGCAGATTATTATTAAAATAAAGGGAGGCATCAGAATCATTATTCATAAATCTTAGAAGTGCAATTATTTAAACACCAGCATAATCACAAATGCTGCCTGGTTGATCTTCCTTGCCTCCCTCTTCCCCCATAAAGAAGATCCCAGCTCTTGACATCATACATTAACTCAGTTTTGTTTGATACTTCTATGTACACTCCCATTCACATTCTAGTCCAGCAAGTCTGACAAATATAAATGACAATATGTGAGCAAAATACCTGCAGGCAAATAACTTTGTCCCCAGGCTGTGCAGAACTCTCTGAGGAGTAATCACCATCAAGCAGAGTCTGTTGCCTGGCTCGTGTCGTGCCCACAGCCACTGGGTTGATGGCTTCTAAGTGTGAGGGGTTGGGGAGCAAGGTGACATGCACAGGTCTGTGGGAGCCGAAGTCCAGATCTACAGAAGATGTCAGGTGGGAAAGAACGTCCCCAATGGCTGCTGAATTCTCTGGAAATTCACTCAAACCATGCATCTTACGGAACATGAGCTGCAGGGAAAGAGATTTGGTTAAAACCCTTTTCTAATTCACTGACAGGTTGAAAGAAAAACACTCTCCTATACCTGAAATTGCAAGGATGCTTCTAAGTTGCAGCACATGAAAGTTCTTTTAAGAATCTCTTGCAGACAGTTCACTGAAGCGTGGATAGGAAGGGAGAACACTCTCACACAGGTAACATTTTATTCTCTAACATTTACAACATGGCAAATTAACATGGCAAATTTTTGAGGGTTTATTTTACTGCAAATAAACCGGGCACCTGCCTGTGAGATTACAAATCATTCGCTGTCTTAGGTTGCAAGATGTAGCTGGGGGTGTGTTTTCTATTGCCATCTGTTAGAGGTGGTGCAGTTATTTTCTGTTATCTGGGGAGATATTTTCTGTTAATGAAAACAGTGAGTGTCCCTGCATGGCTGAGAAAATTCCATCATCCCATTGGGAGATGCTGTGCCCAGGGGGAGGAGCCAACCATCCCTACCTGGCTAGAATCTGACTTTTTGAACACCAGAAGCAGCCTTTTCCCACTGGACTCCCAGAAAAGCAAATTTCTTTTCCACTGGACTCCCAGAGGAAGACCAGGCCCATCTACACCACCCCTGGAGCTTCAGAGGAAAACTCCACCCTTGTACAGGATCCCTGCTCCACCAGAACCACAGCTGGCACTGCAGGAGGGCTGCAGCCACCATGGAATGGGACTGCTGCCACCACCCTGACCAACAGGGTGTCAGGTTGTGTTCTGACTCTGTCAGTGGTTTTGTTTTGTATTACTGCATTGTTTATTTTTAATTTTTCTAATAGAAGAACTTTTATTCTTACTCCCATATCTTTGCCTGAGAGTCCCTTAATTTCAAAATTATAATAATTCAGAGGGAGAGGGTTTACATTTTCCATTTCAAGAGAGGCTCCTGCTTTCCTTAGCAGACACCTGTCTTTTCAAACTGAGACATTTACCTCAGGAGGAAGCTGAAGTAAGCCCACAAGCAGATTAAGCCTCCCCCGATGAGGCATTCCAATGATGATATCTGTGACCCCGCTGTATGCACACATCTTGAACAGCTCATGGAAGAAGCCCATCATGCTCTCTGCTCCTTCACCACCATATCGCTTCACTGTGGCAAACTTGGTGGCCAAGAAGTGATCAAACTCCTGTTAAAAACAGGACAACTTCAGTATTAGGCTATTTTAAGCAGCAACTTTCTGTTTATAACATTGAAATTTAATTTATGTTTATACCCTTGAGACATACAAATCTAAACATACTCCTGGAAAGTCTCAGCTCACTCTCCACCCACACAGTCTGAGACCAGAAGCTATGATGACTATAAAAAATCAGCTCTAAGCAGAAAAATGTTGCATTGAGGACCAAACTTTCTCTGTCTCACATGGAAGGTGCTTCAAGAATTCTAACACCAGATTAATTAACAAATTGCTTGGTAGTTTACCTGTTTTAGGTGGAAATGTAGGAATGGTGTTATTTTACAGTATAAACCATAATGATCTTGAGATACAAAGCAGTAGCAAAGCAGTGTTTCATTTTGATTTACATTAGGCATAGTCCTTATTATACAGGTAGAATGCTTGGGAGAAGAAAAATAAATGCATCTGTATTTACTTCATTTTCTTCTGACTTCACTCCATTCACCTCCTGGAAAGCTCTAATAAATGACCAAGTTTTGGAAGCACTGGAAATTTCTTTCATTTTTGCAACTAAAGACAGAAACTAAATGAAGTCTGTAACTGAGAAGACTAAGCCACACACAAAGATCTGAACCAACTGCTAGAGGAGCAATAGTTCTAAGGAATAATGTATACAAAACTGATCACATATAAAAGCAGTATTTTTCTGTCACAGTTAAATTATATACTCTTAGTATAGCTCTGGTCATACTGAAATTAAAGTAGAGCACATCAGGGTCCAAATTTCACCCTCCTGTGTCACCATCAAATTCCTCTAACTGCCAAAGAGGCTACAAAAAATACAAAGTGGGCCATATACTTCCATTCAGTCATTGGTAAATGTTACATTTAACACTCCTTCCACTTGGAAAACTGGAAACAGGGACATTTTCACAGATCCTGCTCTTCTACCTTTCCAACCTTCACAGATCCTGCTCTTCTACCTTTCAATCATTCTGGATAACATGGGAAGAAAAGGGGAAAAAATTAAAACTTTTCACAGTACAGAAATATTGGAATAAATTTTCTCTATACATTTCAAAAGTGCATAAATATCTCCCTTCCTTATAGAAGGCATTGAACAAGGGCTCCTTGCTGAAAAGCTCCATGTGTGCCAGTGCTATATGATAGCATCAACTATCTAGTTGATGTCTGCATAAACTCTGATTTATTCTTCCAAAACCTTGAGTGACAGCATACTTTAAGGACAGTAAAACAGATAAGTGTAAGGGTGAGAGGAAAATACAGAACAACTAAGTCAGAGCACAAGATTTCACAGAGCTCTGCTCAACCTTATGGTCCTATTAGTAACATTTAATATGAGCTGTCATATCATTAATCTAAGAGTATCTTACTTTTGAAGACTGATTATTCATGGGTTTGCAGCATCATTATTTCAGTAATGGCTGGTAAATTAATTCAGCAACAAACTCCAACGAGATTCCTGCCTTGCACTGCTTCAGGCAAAACCTTGTACTTCTTCCTCCTGCACACTGTCAAAGCCTTTCAGGACAGTGATTGCTCTTTTTCTGCATTAATCATGTCCAGAATAGTAAAGGATCCATGACATATTCCATGACTATTACAATCCAGTAACAGGGAACAAAGTACCTGGGACTCTAGCATCAGTTTGCACAAGTGCTTTTTCTCTTCAGGTGTAAATGCTTCTTGCTTTAGCTCTTCAAACCTTTTAGCAAACCATTCTCTCTCCTCCAAAGTTGGAAGCTGGCTTGTTTCTATGGAAATATGCCCACAGTATATATGGTCAAGATAAGCCATCACATCCTCTACAGAAGCCTCCTCTTTTCCCATGTTTATAAGTCCTGGTAGGAAATAAATGTTATTAGTCACTCTGGGGGAGGAGAGGAAGCACTAAGGCCTGTTTTGGAGAAAATAAAGCAATGAGAGAGACCACCCTCCTTTGTTTAAGGCTGCAGCAAGGCTCTAAGAGAGACAAGAAAAGACAAATCTTGACTTCTGCCACTGTACTTTCAAACCTTCACTACAGCATTAAGTATTGTGGTAAATCATAGAATAGTACAGTAACACAAGAAATTAATGTTTAACCTCAGTAGTTGTAAGAACAAGCACAAATTTTCATGATTTCCAAAGATGCTAGAAGGCAGCCTCTCACTGCACTATGGTTTCTGCAACAGACATATCTATGCTGAAGTTCTGTTCAACAGTTTTCATCACTGATTGAGCCCCCTCTCAATATCTGACTATTCCACAGAGGCCACAGCCCCTCAATAAATCACCCATGAACAGAATTTGCTGTGATAAGGCTGTGGACTCACCTGTAGTAACGAGAGGACCCTGAAGAACTTCAGCCAGCTCTTGGATTTCAGGTACCATGTTCATAACAGCTCGGCCGGCAAACAGTGGGTTTATTTTGGCAGCTTTGTGGCCATGTTCAGCATAGGCAGTTATTAAACGAGCAAGAGCATGGTCAACTAAAATCAAAAAGAAAGCAGAACAGCATCACACATAAACTCAGATTAAATCCATTTACAGCATCAACACAGGAATGTTTTGTCTGCTGGCAACCATCAAGGTTCTGGCTGGAAAGAGAGCTTTTCTATGCAGTTATTTCTATCTTACTACCCCACAACAGCTCCCATCAGCAAACTGCTAAATCTGCTCCTACATACAATTTTCAAGCAAGTACACTCTAGATTTCCCCCACAGCATAGGTTAGGCTCTTGTAAACATATGCAAAGGTACTTCCTATTGCTTTGAATCTCTTTGCAACAAAACCACTACAAACAGGTATGTCTAAGTCAAGATCAGCACATTACCAGTGTATAGTCTTATTTCCTAAGCCAACTAAATCCTATCGCTTATGCTTCCTTGTTCCTTGTTGGAATGACAAGATTGGGTCTTAACAATAATTCAGGTCCCATGGCTTCAAAAAAAATCAAAGTCTGTCTGCAGGAGCCAAGAGCATGTGATGAGCCGAATGTGGTAAAAATTATCAACATGGGTAGAATTTGACCAGCTGGGAGGTCACACACATGTTACTGTCACTGAGCACAGCCACAGACCAGGCTGATAGACTGCAAACAATAAAACATACTGCAAGCACAACTTGCTACAAATTAATGTCATGAACCAGCTTATAAAGCATTCATAATGTGGAGGGGTTTTTCATCCTGGTAAAAACGTAGCACTGGCAGTAGTCAGGTCTGAAGGCTTTTGTTTTCCAAAACAATGGAATTCTCAGACCATAGCACAAGGTTATTTCTCTGACACTTGTCAGCCCATTCAAAACAGCCCCTTTTCTCTACTGGGTTCTACAACAGAGGGACATAACCCGGACATAACCCAGACATAAGGCTAACAGTGCCCACAATGCTCTCAGCAAGGAGGCCGTTTAAATGCCATTTTTAAAATGTTACATAAAAATATGTTAATCATTAACAAGGAGGCTACTTTGTGACGGGTCTCAGTGTCCAGGATGAAACTGGTTTCACTCCTGCTCTGGGCAAAGGGTTTAAATCCTACCAGGGTCACCAGAGTAAAGTTAATGTAAGCACCAAACTCCTATCTAGAAGAGTTTTCTGCTTGAAATCACCTTTCTGTACTGTAAAATGGAGCTAAAAGCAACACAGGATTGCTACAGGAGAGAGTTATCTGAATTTAATAATGAAATCCTAGAATGTTAAGGGGTTGGATGGGACCTTATAGACCATCCCGTTCCAACACCCCTGCCGTGGGCAGGGACACCTCCCACAAAGTTTTATCCCATTTGGCTTTGAACACCGTCAGGGTTGGGGCATCCACAGCCTGGACAACCCGTTCAGTGTCTCACCACCCTTCAGTGGGGTTAGTTCAAACCCCACGGTATAAAAGGAAAATAACAGGCGTGTGGCAGAGGTGCAACACGAGCAGCAGAACTCTCCGAGAGCCCCTCGCTGAGCAAACTCCAGCAGTCGGTGCGGGGCCGTGCACCCCAGGCTTGCAGAAACCACAGCCAAGAGCTCTCGGAGCGGGTCTGCTCCGCCGGGAACAACACAAGCAGCACCTGAGAGCGCCCGGCCCCGCTCCGGGGCAGCCCCCGCCGCTCTCCCGTGTCCGACCTGCTCTGCCGGCGCCGCGCCGCTCCTCCGCCCGCCCGCCCGCCGCGGGCCGCGGTCTGTAGCCGTACACGCCGCGCTCGGTGCGGTACCAGCGGCTCGGCCCGGCCCGGCAGAGCGCGCAGCGCACGGCCCGAGCCCCCGCCGCGCCCGCCATGGCCATGGCCGCGCTGCCCCCGCCGCCGCCACCGCCCCCGACCCGCCCCGAGCCCCGGGGGCGGCTCCTGCCGTGCCGAGCCGAACCAGAGTGCACACGATGGTCTGGGCTCCAGCCAGGCCCGGCTCTGGGCTCCTCAGCACAAGGGAGACAAGGAGCTGCTGCAGAGGGTCCAGTGGAGCCTCTGGAGCATCTCTCCTGTGAGGAGAGACTGTGGGAGCTGGGCATGTTTAGTCTGGAGAAGACTGAGAGGGCATTTCATGAATGCATATAAATGTCTCAAAGTTGGGTGCCGAGAAGTTGGTGCCAGACACTTTTCAGTAGCGCCCAGTGAAATGATCAGGGTCTATGCCTTTATTAATAGTCAGCTCTTTATTAAAAGTCAGCTCCGCAGGAGTCCCAGGGCACGCCAGCAGTTGGGGGCGAAGAGCTGTGCAGTCCGCATCCAGAGTCCCAGCAAACCATCCTCCCCTTTTTGCCTCCTGGCAATCCCAGGAAGAAGTGTCCTCTTGCTCCTGCTTCCCACATTCCAGTCCAATCTGGTCCTCTGCAGTTATGGTGACAGGTTAAACACAGACTAGAGATGGGGTTCCCTTTTCCCTATTGAGCACACCCATCCAGCCCCCTCCACTGTGCCCATCTTTTCCATTTAGGGGTGGTTTTCATCCCCAAAACCCCCTCCCATGATTCCACTGGATTATTTTGCATCCAGGTCCTAGTGTAGGCAGGGTTGTAGGTGATTCTCAGGAGCAATTGACTACTTAACATTTCAATGCCGGTACTTAGCTCAAGCCGAAGTGTCCCAGCCAAGCTGTTTTGTTCATAACATTTTATATGATATATTACGTATTATATGTTTACAGATTTTCCCCAATACCGACTATCTATGTTACAATGTGCTCTTCTACTCTAAACCAATCTGTGAGTGCCAACATCACCAAGAACATGGAGGTAAGGAAGAAGAAGGAGGAAGAACAGGATCAGGCCCACTTTCCTCCATCTTAGAACTCCTGACCCCCATGTACAAAGTAAAACCCCCCTGTACAGGTATTAAAACCCCCCTGTACAATACTAAAAAATTTTCCCCTCTAATTTGTGACTACTTTTACTATACCATCTAACTCTCTGTGACCGCTTGTTCCACCTTCAAAGTTGGTAACTCATTCCATGGTTCAAACTCAAGATCACAGCTGTTTTCAGCTGCTTGCCAAGGTCTAAAATGCTTCTGACCAAGGCCTGGAACCTCTGAAAATGTCTGAGGGACATTTTGAGTTCCGACAGGCATGTTTAGTCTGGAGAAGACTGAGAGGGCATTTCATGAATGCATATAAATGTCTCAAAGGTGGGTGCCAAGAAGTTGGTGCCAGTCTCTTTTCAGTAGTGCCCAGCAACAGGACTGGGAGCAATGGCTGTAAAATAAAACCCAAGAAGTCCACTTTAACATGAAGAAGTTTTCATTGAGAGTGGCAGAGCACTGGGACAGACTGCTCAGGGATGTGGAGTCTCCCTCTGTGCAGACATTCACAACCCACCTGGATGTGTTCCTGTGTCACCTGCTCCAGGTGACCCTGCCTTGGCAGGGGGGTTGGACTGGATGATCTGCAGAGGTCCCTTCCAGCTCTACACTGGTGAGACCCCACCTGCAGTGCTGCATCCAGCCCTGGGGTCCTCAGCACAGCAGGGACATGGCCCTGTTGGAGCAAATCCAGAGGAGGCCACCAAGATGATTAGAGAGGTGGAGCACCATTCCTATGAGGAAAGGCTGAGAGAATTGGGATTGTTCAGCCTGCAGAAGAGAAGGTTTCCTTGTGACTTAATTACAGCCTTCTAGTACTTGAAGGGAGTCCGCAAGAAAAGATGGAGATGGATTTTTTAGAAGAACATGTAGTGAGAGGATAAGGTGGAATGGCTTCAAACCAAGAGAGTGTAGGTTTAGATTAGGTATTAGGAGGATGTTCTTTGCTGTGAGCAGGGTAAAGTACCAGAACAGGTTGCACAGGGAAGCTGTAGATGCCCTACCTGTGGATGTGTCCAAGGACAGGTTGGATGGAGCTCTGATCAATCTGGAATAGTGAAATGTGTCCCTGCCTGTGGCAGAGGGCTGCACAAGATGATCTTTAAATGTCCCTTCCAATCTCAACTTTTCTGTGATTCTGTAAACTTTGTGTGAATGCAGGTCTGGGGTACTGGCAGGTTTCCTGTCCTTAGGCTTGGTTGTGCTCCTGTAGCCTCCACCATTAGGAAATCAAAGAGTATTTTTTTGTCCAAATCAAACCATGGTATTTGCCTTTGGAACAGGTGGAACTGGATTTCAGAACTGAATCAGTTCTGACACCCCAGTTGGTCTGGGATTTTATGATATTCACAGTTCTTGCAGAGGGGCCACTTGTGCTCCTTGAGGCCCGTATGGTTGGGTTTATGCATATTTATAAAACCCAATATGGGAGAAAAATATAAAAATAAATTACTTTTAATGCTGCAAGGAGGGCAAAAGGATACAGCAACAGAAGGACAGTGGACAAGTGGCCCATTCAGTGAAGGTAGTAAAAATGTAGCTGAGGATATTCATATTTTTTTCAATTAGAATGAAGGAACCTTAAAAATAATGTTGCAAGATGATGTGATTTTTTTGAAGCTGACAGTGGAGAGGGAGAAAACATTGATGTAGTTAAATATTTCCATTCTGTGCTTGGGGAAAAAGACAATGTTGCAGGCAGATTACAGGATGATGAAATACTTTTCCATAGTTCTTAAGCAAATACCAGTCAAACAGCAGATATCAATGTGGTTTTGCTTTCAATCATATAGGCAGTTAGTTGAATATTTCCCAATTAGCACTGATACAAACAAATAGGCTTGAACAATAAAAATTTTCCAGTTTCTCTAGTGAGATGTTTCAGACACACAATGTGGATCTCAGAGAACTAATTGAATATTTGTATATATAAGTTCACTTAAATAGAAGTTTAATAAAATCTAAGCAGGTGTTTATGAAATATATATCTCATCAAGTCAACTTGTTAGGGTTTTTATGTGAATCAAAATCCAGTTAATAAAGATTTCACAGATTTTCCAGCATAATCATCTTGTGTAGGACATGATTACACATGACAAAAACATTGCTGTAGCTATATCTAAGTCAAGGAAAGGTTTTGTTGACTTTGATTCATGTCTAAACATGAGAAGGTGGTACCTGTGCCAGCAGAAACACCACTGCTGAGGGCGTAGGCCAAGTGACTCTCCCAGCCTGGCTCTTCTGGCACAAAGCCTGTCCTAGAGAAGGCTCCTGTGTGAGGCTGATTTAGTACTACATGATGCTCTCACTAAAAAATACTAGAAATGCCCAAAACCAAGGCTGTACACACTAAATAGTAACTGTCTGACTACCTGGCAGCATAGAAAATCAGCAAAACTGGGAATATTTCTAAAGGAGTTACCCTCCTTGCCACTTCAGTAGTTAGATCAACCCAAAAAAGCTGCCCACACCTTGAGTGCTGATGAAGTTTGTCAGCTGGAGGTAAGTGGTGAGGAGAGGTTGCCTTCAATCCTAGAGGCAAGATGGAGATAAGCAAACACAATTTATTTTAACAGGATGAGGTGAAAGATTGCACACATTGAAAGAGTATGTGCACTAAAATGTAGCTCATTTCCAGGAAACAGGGGCTATAAATACCCTCCAAAAATCATGAGAAAAAAGCAGGTGGGTCTAAAAAAATTATGTGGATATCTGCTCACTCAGAAAAGAAGATAATTTGCTGGATTTGGATGCAAGGAAATATAGAGGACACCTACAGATTCTACATTCGGCCAGTATTTGGCACAATTTGAATACTGTGTGCAAGTTTGGTGCCAGTAATTGAGGAAACATACAATAAATTTGGGAGGAAGAGCTTCAAGAAATAAAAACATGCTTTATGTCTGAGATTCAGGAAACGACAACTACCTGCTTTTGGTTTTGGTAAATCAGTACAAAAGCTTGATTAGTATGTGCACAGATGAAACAGGTCCTTTAGGAGGAAAAGTTTGCTGAAGTTTGCTTGCATGGCCTTTACAAGAGAGAGCTCCAACATAATTGTAGGTGTGGGAGTGTGGTATAAACACAGAAGGAGATTTTGCTTTCCTTTCAAAACCATAGTGATTGTGCTTTTTATTCATGTTGGAAAGGGTAGCAACATCGTGCTTCAGAAGAAAACAAGCCAACATCTCTTGTTGTAATGCCAGTGCCACTGACACTTAACCCAAGTATAACCCAATTCCCCCTAAAAAGAATCATTGAGATACTCATTGACAGGCCAAAGGATGGTGCCTTTGGAAAATAAAGTGCCAACATCAACATGGATTTCCTCTCCCCCTTCTTGCCATGTTCTGCCATGGAACTTCTCCACTCCAGTGAATCAGTTTAATCAATTTGGTAGTTTAAGTTATTTTGGCAAGCAAATGAGATCTTTGTGAGCAGGGACATGTGAATGATCTGTGCCAGTAACAAGCACAACTCCTTTCAAACTTGTCCAGAAAGAGGTTTTTAGACATGTCTGTAAAATGAGCAATGACGTTAAACAGCAGAGAGGAAAGCTCTCCTATGGAAAAGGAAAAAAAACCAAACAAAAACCTGTCTAGTCCTGTAGCAGCGTTGGCAGAACACACTTAAAGCTCTGCATCAGTAAACAGTGTCTTCTGTTGGGGCTGACTCTTGCCTCTGGATAAAAAGCAACTTTAACAGCTGAATAACCTCGTTATGTACAACCAGGCCTGTGCCTGCTGTCAGAGTCCAATATTGCTGAAGGCTTGTTCTAAGCCCAGAGGGCTGTAAAGGTTTTCCCAACATAAAAGCTTCTATCAGAATCTGGATTCAAAATGTAAAATAAACACCAGAATTCTCACTCTGCAGCTCTGAGCTGTGCCAGTTTTGAGTTGCCCAAGAGGTAATGCCGTGCCCAGAACTGCAGGCAGAGAACATTTCCAACAAATCCAGGAGCTTTGCGCCACTAAACTCACCACTGTAAAATATCCTCAGATGTCCA